TGTCCCAGTTCCCCTTCAAAATAACGCCCCTTATCATCGCCGCGAATCAAGAGGTGCTCCCCCCCAAATAACGTCGGGGGTGGACAGACCTCCTACCCTGACACGTCGATTCAGGAACTGGCCGTGCTCGGTTCGCGAGAGGGCGTCGCGGCCGTCGGCTTTGCGGGTCCAGGTCCGTCGGTTTCGGTCCCAGGCCGTGTTCACTAAGGGGAGGTCTACTAAAGGGAGGTTTGTCCACCGCCGATAACGCCCCATCATCGCCGCGAATCAAGAGGTGCTCTCCATGCAGGATGATCACCGAGGGCGTTCCGCAACTCGCAGAGTGCCTACTCGCAAACGTGTGGAAGACAGATGTCTGCTTCGATGTAATTGCTCGTAGATCTCCCCCGGCGGATCCAGGCCATTTGCGAGTAGTCCTTTTGCGAGTAGTGGAACGCGCTCGTCTAGATCAGTCAGTTGGGCGAAGTGGCTCGTTGGGGAGAGTGTGAGGGGGGGATCGCCGCTCCAGCCTTCCGGGCGCGACGCGCTTTGATTCGAGCGGCCGGGTCTTTGGTCCGAGGGGCTTCCAAGAGGCTTCGAGGCAGCCCGAGAGGGCGGCGAGATGGCCGACGAGACGGCCTCGGAGATCGTCACAAGACGCCCGGTTCGGCAAAGCGGGTCCCGAAGGCGTCTGGAGATGCCGCAAGATAGTTATAGCGCACAGGTGCTCCATGGAGGCTCTGAGGCGGCTGTTCGCAGGGCCCCCGGTAGTTGGAGACCATCAGAATGCGTTTGGCGTTTACCTGTTTTGGGCACAATGCGCTTCTGAGCTCAAGGTGGCTTCACGAAGGACATCAGAGGCTTCCAAGATGGCACACAATGGCCGGAAGGGCCCCAAAGAGAGCCTCCAAGAAGGCCGCAATAAGGGCCCTTTCTGAGGCCAGCTCAAGATCGTTCCAGAAATGGCCCCAAAGGCTTCCAAGAAGGCCCACAAGAGTCCCTCAGAGAGCCCAAGGCGCGACCCAGATGGTCCCAGAGGGCCTCCAAGACGTTGCCAAATTCTCCAAGACGTTCCCAAGACGGCCAAAGAGCGCTTCAAGATGGATCCCAGGAAAACCCCACGAGTTCCCCAGGGATCCGTTGCCCCAACAGTCCGCCTTTGGCCCGATGGTCGAAGAAGAAACAACTGCAGACGCGCAAACTTCGGAGGATCGTCGCTGAACCCCCTGGCGGCGCCTCTGGCGCCGCCCCTTGCGCGCTCCGCGGGCAAGGGGGGAAGGTCCATCGCCAGCCCAAGAAATCCGTGCACCACCTCGAAATTCTATATGAATGCCATGCTCTCTTCTCCTACCGATGGGACAGCGGATTTTGCCAGCAGCTGCACTGCAGGAAAGTACAACAACACCGAGTACACCAGGATGGCCCTGCTGGGCAACACGCTGAGGTACTCTGTGGACCTCGGGGGGGCCGGTTGTGGCTGCAACGCGGCTTTCTACCTCACCTCCATGGGGCACAACCCTCACAAGTCGGAGTGCTTCGACTACTACTGCGACGCCAACAACGTGTGCGGTCAGACCTGCGCCGAGATCGACATTCAGGAGCTGGCGGTGCGCACCAGGGCGTGTCGCGAGGGAGGGGGGGGGGGGGCTTCTGGGAGTGCGGGGGGCTTGCTTCTTCGAAGACGGAGGAGGAAGGAGCAATCCTGTCGGAGGAAGGAGAACCGACGCCACCACCACCAGGAATGCCACCTCCGGCCAGGAGGTCCACGATGCCCCCCACAGCCGGAGATAGGAGGTGTCTCGAGCAGGCCGGGGGGGACCACACCACAAGGAGGACCCATTCGTGGCAGCTCGCGATGGTGGTGGTGGTGGTGGTGGTGGTGGTGGTGGTGGTGGTGGTGGTGGTGGTGGTGGTGGTGGTGGTGGTGGTGGTGGTGGTGGTGGTGGTGGTGGTTGTGGTGGTGGTGGTGATGTCGTCTGTCATGGCTCCCACACTTCCCTGGAAAAGTGATCTAATTTTTGCAGGTCGTGTCGAATCAGCTTCTGGGGGATTTCCCTGGGGGTAGTGTTTCGTCCTGGGTCCGCTTCTGGCGGGCCTGGGGCCCGAAGACGGCCCCCTCCCCGAGGCCAAACACGACGAAAAGCAGAAGGCGACGAAGACAAGCAAATCGAGGACTCCAGTTGCATGACTTTCCAGGGCAGTGCACAAATTAGAAGCCGGGTGAAGGCTGGCAAACCCGTGGCTGCTAAAACAGAGCTCCGGGAAATTGTTGTTGTTTTTTCTTTCCGGGAAGCAGCCCGTTTACTATCTAGCGCGCTGAGCTGATTCCGGGATTTGTTTCTTCTGGGAAGACCGTTATAGCAGCCACGGATTTGCCAGCCCTCGCCCAGCTTCGGAACACAGGAGGCCAACCTGTTTGCCTTCCACGCGACCCTGCACGGCGCGAACGACTCGTTCGGCGCCGCCGAGGGCGAGGGCGGCGGGGGGCCGGGCTGGAGTGGGCCCCGCGACTGGGACAAGAGGGACTACGGCCCGGGCGCCAAGTGCGTCGACTCGACCGCCCCCTACGAGGCTCGAGGGAGGAGATTCGAAGAGGAAAAAACGCTGTAAAGATAAACTTTTGGCGCTCCGCGCGGATTTCTTGGATCTGCGCTGGGCCCCCCTGGCGGCGCCTCCGGCGCCGCCCCTGGCGCGCTCCGCGCGCCAGGGAGGGGGGTCCAGCGCAGATCCAAGAAATCCGCGCGGAGCGCCAAAAGTTTATGTTAATAGCGATTTTCTTCTTCTAGAAATGCGGGGTCTCGAAGATCGATGATCCTCAGGACGTGCGTTGGCCCAGTGTGCTTTCCCTCGCCCAGCTCCCCCCAAGAGCGCGCGGCCTGCGTCGGCCCTTGGTACAACGCGCGTGTCGTAATTATGGAAGGGCGTCGGCGGACCAGCCCACGTCGGCGCCAACGCACGTTCTGAGGACCATAGAGAGCAAACAACTGCATGAACAGCACTTCTGGAAAAACCGGCAACGCCCCGTGCTCCGCGCGCCAGGGAGGGGTGCCCGGCGCCGATCCAAGGAGCCCGCGCGGACCTCTCGAGAAAGATCATGGCTGCGAATTGGCTCCTGCAAGAGGTCTCCTCGTCCTTCTCCCGAGCCTCCTTCTCCCTCCCTCTCCTCAGCCTCCGTTTCCTCCCTTACTTGTTCCCCGAAAGGGCTTCCACAACGGCTGGGGGAGCGCATCGTCCATCAGCGCCACCAAACCTTACGGACGGTAGGTTCGCGTCGTGTCGACCAGCGGCGACCCTAGCGCAGGCGTTCAATGTTGAACGCCCCTGGCGACCCAAAATCCGTCGATGTTGAAAGATCGGACGTTTGGCATACTACCGATCGTTCAAGGTTGAACGATCCTCGTGGTGTTAGGAACCAACGCCAGGATCGACACGACACGAACCTGCCGTACCCAAGCGTCTGGCCGCGCATCCTTAAATCGGGCGTGTCCACCTACAGGAAGAATGTGCAAACATAACTCGTCAAAAAATAGTCTTGGGACGATGTGTCGGACTATTTTTCGAGTACTTTGTGACTTTTTTATGTGTCGTCTAAACTCCGCCTGTAGGAGGACACGCCCGACGTAAGCGCATCCTCAGAGGCAGGGAGCGGCGGTGAATCGCCGCGGGCGGCTTCGGCAAGAGAGAGAGAGAGTACTTTGTGACTACTTTTTATGTTTCGTCTGAACTCCGCCTGTATGGGGACACGCCCGACGTAAGCGCATCCTCGGAGGCAGGGAGCGCGGGCGAGTCGCCGCGGGCGGCTTCGGCAAGAGAGAGAGACTGGCCAGAGTGGAGGGACAGCTAATTGCCGAGGCCGCTGCTCGGCCCGGAGAGCCCGGCCTAGCCACGGCTAGGATCTCCTTGATCGGCGGGAGCGGCCAAGAGGGGGGGGGTCCAAGAGGGGGGGGTGCAAATCTTGACCTGCGGCATGTGCGCGGCCCAGCGGGAGGGCCAGGGACGTAATGAAATGAGAAGAGGCGCCATGAAATCTGGGGAGATATCATGGCCCCCGCCATGATATCCACCCCCGCCTAGTCATCACCCCCCTCTTTTCCGCCCCCGAGTGGGGCGTGTCCCTCTGTATTCAGAAATACCGAAACAAATGTCCTGGGACGATTGTTTTAGTATGCTTGATTTTGTGCTTGTTAATCGTTTGACTATGCTTTGCTGCTTCGTCCACAATCCGACTGTAGGCGGACATGCCCGACCTAAGATTCTCCTGGTCGGGCTGCTCGCAGGCGGTTCTTATCCCCGGGTCCCTGCGTTCCGCCCGCAGAGCTCGGACGCTCCGAAAAGGCGGGGGCGGCCAAGAGGAGGGTGGTGACTAGGTGGGGGTGAAGATCATGGCGGGGGCCATGATGCTTCCCCAGATCTCATGGCGCCTCTTCTTATTGCAATCCGTCCCTGGCACCCCTCTGGGCCGCGCACATGCCGCCAGCCATGATTGGCGCCCCCGCCTCGTGGACGCCCCCCTCTTGGCCGCCCCCGATGAAGGGGGAAAACTCTGGGATGCAACCCCGAGGGGCTATCCGGACGCACCCCTTTCCAGGATGGACAGTCCCCATGCTAGATCCCCGAGTTGGGCTCCAAATTTTGCGTCCGATCGGAAGCCCCACACGGTCCTGGATTGGGGTCGACATATTCCCCGTTCAATGCATTCCGCGAGATGCCTTGGGGACAACGGTATCGGTACCTGTTCGTCCGCCACGTCGGGATGCCAGCAGGTGCCCCACGGAAGTGTCGTACCTCCCGATGGCCCCAGGGGCCCAGAGACATTATGGGGCGCCGTGGGACCCTCAAGGATCGTCGAGACGAGTGCCCCAAGATGTCTGACGCCAAGGTCTCTTATCGCATGTGTCTGCTGTACGGCGTAGACATCAATTTCCGGCGATCCGCCCAGATGTATTGGGTCGGCGTTGGCCCCCCCCATGGCGGCAACCCCGACGCCGTCCTTGGCGCGCTCGTCGCGCCAGGGAAGTGGGCCCAGCGCCGATCCAAGAAGCCCGCGCCGACCTCCGAAAGTTTCAGCCTATGTTGTTGTTGCTGTTGTTGTTGGTGTTGTTGTTGTTGGTGTTGGTGTTGTTGTTGTTGCTGTTGTTGTTGTTGTTGTTGGTGGTGGTGGTGTTGTTGTTGCTGCTGCTGCTGGTGGTGTTGTTGTTGGTGGTGGTGTTGTTGTTGGTGTTGTTAATGTTGTTGGTGTTTTTTGTTGTGTTTCCTCTAGAGGTGGCCGTGTCCTTCCCCACGGACAAGGCAGGGTCCCTCGAGGCGATGTGGATCTCCCTGTCGCAGGTCAAAGAAGACGGGGGATCATGTAGGATCTCGCTGAACTTCAGCAGCTATGAGTACATGTCAGAGATGGCAGAAGAACTTAAGAGGGGGATGACACCGATCATAAGCTACTGGGCTGATAACGACATGCTTTGGTTGGATGGCCGCGGCGATGACCACAAGGGCCCGTGCAAAAAGGACAACAAAAAGAAGTGTTCGGATACAGTGAGGTTCTTCAATTTCTCCATCGCCGAGGTCTCCGACGAAGATACGCCTACTATCTCGAACAAGACCACAACCACCACCCAGAAGCCAGTCAGCGACGACGGTGCTTGGAATGGGGAGGCCAGCGATAGCTCGACCAGCTCGAGTGAGGCTTTGGAGCAACCCTCCTCCACGACAACGCAGGCTGCCAGTTCGTTAGGCTGGGATTGGGACGCTGACGAAGGAGACGACGACGGGCAGCTAGAAGACTCTTCTGCCACTGACGAGGGCAATGCGGTGGTTGGGGGAGAGTGCGTGGAGTTCGACAATTGGAGGAAGGCGGCAGTCGGCGGAAGAGCCGTGCAGATGAACCTGGGCGCTGCGGCGTACGGCGTCCAGACGCCGTCGTGGCCGGAGTGCCGCAGCATGTGCGCGAAGCACAAGGACTGCAAGCAGGTTGTGTTCTACAAGCCTGATCGCACGTGCTTCGCCACCAGGGAGGCCCAGGGAGAGGACCAGGACAACATGGGCGGCTCCAATTACGACTTCATCTCGGCACACTGTAACAACGCGTGCCAGGAGTTCAACAATTGGCGCAAGAGCGAGGCAGGCGAGGAGATAGCCCTGGGGACGCACGAGTACGGCGCGGAGACCGAGGACTGGCCCACGTGCCGCGACCGCTGCGGAGCCGAGAAGGAGTGCAGGCAAGTGGTCTACTACAGGCCTCCGCCCTCCTCCTCCTCCTCCTCCTCCTCCTCCTCCTCCTCCTCCTCCTCCTCCTCCTCCTCCTCCCCCTCCTTCCCTTCCTCGCTCTGCGCCTCCGTCCGTCCCCCCCGCCTCCTCCCCACCAGAGCTCCAGTGCGGCTGAGCCTGCCTCTCGCCGCGACACGACCGTCCGGCGGTGGATGGGTTGGCGGCCAGCCCTTGGGGGACGTGAGAAGGGGCGGGCCTTCTCAGAAGGCTCGGATGTCCCCCGGCCTTCTGATAAGTTTTCTAAGTCTAGCACGACGAAGAAATCTTCCCAGAAGGCCAGGGGGCTTCTGAGAAGCCCCGCCGCCTTCTGAGAAGGACTTGTCCTTCTCACTCCCCCCCCTCGCTCGCCGCCGAAGTGACGTTGGGAGGAGTTCCTTGTCGACGCGCTGCGCCTCCCCTCCAGAGCTCACTTCCCCTCTTCCCCTCCCTCTTTCCCGCTCCGCTCCCCTCGGGTTCCCTTTCTCCCCCTCCTCTCTCCTCCTTGTCGTCCCCTCACGTCCTCCCCATCCTCCTTCCTGCCTCCCCTCCTCCTTCCCTCCTCCCCTCCCCTCCCCTTCCGCCCATGCTCGCCCTCCTCCCATTTTTCCCTGCTTTTTTTACGGTAGACCAACCTGAGCAAGAAGCTGTGGCGTTGACTCCTTCCCTCCTCCCCCTCCCTTCCTCCCTCTCCTCCCCTCCTCTCCTACCCTCCACAGCTATTCAGGAACAGCGGGCCCTTCGTGACTTGGATGCCCCTTCGCTAGTTTCACTGACGCTGGCTCCGTGGCGACTTGACGCAAAAAACAGCAGAGGACTGACACATTAGGGTAAAAAGACGCGCGGCATTCGCCGCTCTTCTGGGGGAGCACGTTGTTTCTGGGTCACGTTTGCCAGACCCACTGTCACCTCGCAGGGGTTGCGCGGAGCTGTATGTCGTTGAAAATCATGTCCAGGCCAGAGCGCAAGTGCTTCGGCATGAGCGGAAGGGGCGACGGCGACCAGGATAACTTGGGCGGCCAGAACTCAAACTTCGTCTCCGCCCACTGCCACCACGATGGCGCGGCCTCCGGCGCGGGCATCGGGGGAACCATCGAGGAGCTGACCAGCGGCATGGACGCCGAGCGCATCGTCATGCAGAAGAAGTTCGCCGGGCTGCCCGGGCCAGCCCCGCCGTCGGACCACGGCAGGTGGGCGCTAGCCTGCGGAGGCGTGGCGGCCGTCGCCGTCCTGGCCGTCTGCGCGTCCGCCGCCGCCGGCGCCAGGCGGAGGCGCGTCGCGCACGCCGCCCCCGTGGAGAGCCTGAGGCTCGAGGGAGAAGTAAGCGCATACATCTGTGTTGTGCAGATATGTGTTAGCAAGCGTGGACCCCACACAGTGTGTGTGCGTGCGTGTTTTGCTTTGTTTTGTAGTCTCTGCTGTGCATCGTATGGGGGGCAATCTGTTTCGCGCGATATATATATATATATATATATATATATAATGAATATATATATATATATATATATATATATATATATATATATATATATATATATACAAGACTGCAGTGGCGCTTCGCGCCATGCACCTTGGCTCTTGAAGATTGCTATGCAGGCGGAAAAGGCAGGAAGGTCAAGCGGACACTTTAACGACAACTCCTTGCTGTCTTGTCTGGCATCGCCGTTATAATAATGTTGTTCGTTATCCTTCCTCCATTCTTACTTTTCCTTATTCTCGCCATACCCTGGGCATTCCCCCCATCCTCCTCAGCTCTTTTTGCGGAGGCTCCTCCTTGGAGAGCCTCTGGGGGCCTCACCAAAGTTCTCAAGCTTTCTTAAAGCCTTCTGGAGGCCTCCTGGGCGTGTTCTGGGGGCCTCTGGGGCTTCCTAAGGCCAACCTGCCTCTAACCGCGGTCTCCCTGAACGCCCCGGTCACGATTTGGAATGCTTCAGAGGGTGTCTTGGGGCCATTTTGGGCCGCCATGGGGCTCTCTTAGGGCAATTTTGGACCCCTGGTGTGCCGTTTTGGGGCCCTCTTGGACTGCCTGGAAGCCCTTTCGGATGGTTGTGGGGCGATTTTGGAGCCTCCCAGGCGACTTCGGATGCCCAGAAGACCGCTGTTTTGGAGCGTCGGGAAGCCGAAAAGACGAGAACCCCAAACTCACCAAAAACCTACATGAAATTAATGTTTTTTCCCTCTTGGGGCCTTCTTGGGGGTGCTCTTGGAGGCCTCTTGGTACGTTTTGGAGCGATCTTTCGGGGTATGACGGCTTCTTGGAGCGCTCTTGTGTTGTCTCAGGGTTCTCCAGGACGTCTCCGATGACCCCCCTGATCGCCCTAGGTGTGCTGCGAAGGCTTGGCAAAACGCCCTGCGAGGCCCGGGGGGCCGCTTCGAGGCCCATCCGAAGGGTCCCAAAGCCCCAAATCCCGGGAGTCGGGTTTTGGGGGGGGGAGGGGGGGACGGGTTTTCCCCCCGCCCGGGCTTGTAAAAATATAGGAAGAGGTGTGTGTGTGTATATATATATATATATATATATATATATATGGTAGCCCCCCCACTAAGATCTACCTGATACCCTTCTTGATTCGAAGTTCTCTTCGAACATATTTTTCTTCGAACTGGTTTACAGCATTGTCTTTCAAATTCGTAGGCCGCCACACAAGGAATTCCTTTGTAAGACAGCTAATATTTTTTCTGGAGCCAGCAGCGGAAAACCAGGAAAACAATGAAAAACAACGAAAACAATGAAAACACATCGAAAAACAATGAAAAACAGAAAAGGATTGTGCAAACACTGCAAAATACATTGAAAACAACAGAAAACATATGAAAGCACAACAAAAAGCAATGAAAACGTACAAAAACATATGTTTTCACAGGTTTCCTGATGGTTTCCTTATTTCTTGTTGTGTTTTATATGTTTTCTGTGGGTTTCACTTTTTTTTGCTGTGTTTGTTAAGTCCTTTCTGTTTTCCTTGTTTTTCGCTGTGTTTTCCTTGTTTTCATTGTTTTTCATTGTTTTCCTGCTTTTCCGCTGCTGGCTCCCGAACAATGATCCGCGGCCTTACAAAAGTATTCCTTTCATCGGAAAATTAGGAAAACAAGGAAAAACAAGGAAAACACAACGAACAACAAGGAAAAACAAGAAACGTTTCCGTTGTTTTCAGTGTTTTTCATTGTTTTCCTTGTTTCCCGCTGCTGTCTCCCAAAAAAGATATAGCGCCCATACAAAGGCATTCCTTTTGTGGCGGCCTTACAAAAAGGATTCCTTTTGTGGCGGCCTTACAAAGGGATTCCTTTTGTAGCGGCTCTACAAAGGGATTTGTTTGTGGAGCCCTTACAAACGGAAGCCTTTTGCGGAGGCCATGCAAAGGATTCCTTCGGTTGCGACTTGACAACATGTTTTCTTCTGTCGCGGCACTACAGAAGTTTTTTCTTGCGACCCAAGTGATTCCTCGATGGGTTTCTCGTGGTTTACCGTCGTCACAAGAGAGGGTTTCAGCTCAGACTTTGTTGTCTTGGCGCGGGATGCTTGTCATGAGATACGTATCGGAAGACCAGCATTGCTATCGAATTCATTCTCTCAGATACCTTGAGCCGCGGCGGACGCACCCCTTGGGGGTTTCTTTTTTTTGATTCGTGCTTCAGAAGGGGAAAGTATGTGTATTTGTTTGAAAAGTTGGGTGGTGCATGCCTGCTGTGAGAACCGCATCGAGTGAAGAACATCGCTATCAATGTTGTTTTCTTTAGGAATTTGATTCACGGCGGGCGCAACCCTTGAGGGTTTGTTCCTACTATTGTCGCTCAAAGGGAGAAATTAAGTACATGTTTTGTGCATTGCGGGCGTGGGGTTACGGCCGTTAGAAGCACAGCGGGTGAAAGCTAGAAGCTGATGTTTTATTTTCGTAAGGAATTTCTTTAATGGAGTACGCGCGCCGTGAATAAGCCAGCGTGTTCTGCATTTGTTCGGGCGTTGTTTGTCTGTTAGCAAGAACGCCAGAATATCATTAAGTAAACGTTGTATTGCTGCGAACATTTAGCACTTCGAAATGAGTCCGTCACGTCCTTCCATGCACGATGGTGCGCACATCAATATTGGGCGACGATTTCAAGATTCATGGGCACAAACTTCTTGCGGGCCCCTGACATTTTCTGATGATTTGGATGCCCCTGGACGCGCTGTTTGCGTACCCCGCGCTTTCGCTTAACGCGTAGTGTTGGCCCTCCGCGGTTTTGCTTAATGCGCCCTGTTAGTTATCGGTTGGAAAAGGAAGCTTCGACGAGCTAGCAGGAGCATCCAGTTTTGGATGCCACCGTGATCGCCTTCGTCGTTGTCTGCCTGCGTTTCCAACAGTGGCCATGGCGCGAGTGCGCAACGTAGAAGGACTCCACAAAAAATCTCTTTGTAGAGCCGCTACAAAAGGAATACTTTTGTAAGGCCGCCACAAAAAGGAATCCTTTTTGTAAGGCCGCCACACAAGGAATGCCTTTGTATGGCCGCTATATTTTTTTTGAGACAGCAGCGGGAAACCAGGAGAACAATGAAAAACAGTGAAAACAACGGAAACACAACAAAAAACAATGAACAACAGAAAAGGAATGCGGAAACACAGCAAACTACAATGAACACCAAAGAAAACTTATGAAAACACAGAAGAAAGCAATGAAAACGTACAAAAAAATCATGTGTTCGCAGGTTCCCTGTTGGTTTCTTTAATTTGTGCTGTGTTTTCAAACGTTTTCTTTTGTTGTTATAATTACTGTGGTTTCGCAGTCCTTTCCTGTTTTTCATTGTTTTTCGTTGTGTTTTCCTTGTTCTCCTTGTTGTTACTTGTTTTCCTAATTGTCCGATGAGAGGAAGAATCCTTTGTAAGGCCGCGGATCATTGTTCGGGAGCCAGCAACGGAAAACCAGGAACACAAAAAAATAAGGACAACCAGGAAAACACAGCGAAAAGCAAGGACAACAGAAAATAATTGAAACAACTCAGCAATAACAAAAAAAACAGTGAAACCCAAAGAAAACATATAGAAACAGCAAAGCATAAAGAAACCAACAGGAAACCTGTGAAACACACATGTTTTTGTACGTTGTCATTGTTTTTTGTTGTGTTTTCATATGTTTTCTTTGGTGTTCATTGTGTTTTGTTGTGTTTTCACACTCATGTTATGTTTTTCCTTGTTGTTCGCTGTGTTTTCTTTGTTTTTCATTGTTTTCCTGGTTTTCCGCTGCTGGCTCCAGAAAAAATATCAGCTGTCTTACACAACAAATCCTTGTGTGGCAGATCAGACGTGCCCTCAGACCAGACACACCAAACCAGCCCAGACCAGACTAGACTTGACAAGACCAGAGCAAACAAGCCGGATCAGACCAGACTTGATCATGCACCATATCAGACCAGACCAGTCCAAACCCGAACAAATTGATCCAGATCAGACCTGGACGCGAGCCACAGAATCTCTGGCGAAACATGATTACGAGCACGACTCTTTGATAGATTTCTCCCACGGGCTCGCCCGCCTGAATGTCTACGCCAGAACATTATGGACCTGAATCGATTCGAAAGCGCCGTATGATGGGACCCCCAAGCTCCAGAATCTCCAGAACAACTATTCCCAAGACGACCCTTTCATAATCTTCCCCCGCGGGCTCACCCAGCCGCTTCTCCATGCCAGAGCAAAAACTACATCAAGCGATTTGTCGCGACCCCTCTGTCGAAATCGCAAAACCCAGAACCGTTAAGAAAAACTATTACAAAAACGACCCTTGCATTATCTCCCCTCTCCGCGGGCTCGCCCGCCACAGGTTTTTGCACCGAATTCAAATTGAATTGCTCTCGTTTGCCTAGTGCGCACATGGTCTAGCACATGCCGACAGCGCACCACGGCAGGCGCTTGGGAGGCTTCTGCTCCGATTTGCAAATGGTCTTAAAGAATTTAGGAGACACACGGTCGGCGAAGGTGGCCATCAGCCGCCCAAGTTTGTCGACGAAGTTGTTGTGTTCGCTCTCAATGTTCTGCTTCTGCCGCTCGAGCTCGTTGCATTTATTTTCGGTCTCCTGGTACTCGTTCTTGTACCAATAACCCCACTCCTCATACTTCTTGTTCTTCTTTTCTAATTCTGTGATGCGCTTATCCTTCTTTTGCCCTGCTGCTTCCATTTGCTTGATTGTGGAATTCGCCGTCTGCAGGTCGCGCACCAGCTTGTTGCACTTGCGTGTCTTGGCGTCTAGCTTCGTCTGTGTGAACTTCAGGTGAGTATCAACCAAGAACTTGACAACAGGCTTTTTGTTGTACTTCGCCTGAGGATGTGTAAATGTAGTGTTCTTAACAAGCTATTTTAAAAATGTTACCTCTTATCCAAAATGCCCCGAAACAGAAACACTACAACGAAGCACAATTAGTATACAGGTTTTTGTTTCCAATGTGTCCTGCTTGGCTGTCTCCTTGTACCCTCGGTTGCGGATTATCTTCTTGTTGTACGCGTCCGAACCGTACTCTGGAACCCCCATGCTGTCAGTTCAATCGGAGGGGGGGTACCGGAGCTGCACACCTGAGCCGCAACAGCAGCACTACTGTAATGGATCGGATCGGAAACACTGCGTGGTCTGCTCACGCTCCAGTTCAACCTAATTTAGCAATTGAGGGAGTGACAATCAGAAGGGCGAGGATGATGGGGATGAGGACGATGCAAAAACATGATAAGGATACCTGAGAGAAAATCGGCGGCATCAGAGCCGACCAAACGAGTTTGCTTGTAGGTAGATTTTAGGGGGGGGGCTAGCATATATATATATATATATACATAAATACATATATACATATATACATATATACATATATACATGTATATACATATATACATGCATATATAGATATATATGCATATGCATATATGGATGTGTATAGACACATATATGGTGCACGCCTACGTGCTGCGCTCTCTGTCGTGCAATATCGGTTGTGAAATATATGTTGTGACATCTACGTGGTTCAATGTATGCGGTGCGCAACTGCGCAGCTTATGTGATGTACCCTATGCGGTGCCATCTATGTGGTGCGCGATCGACGTGGTGCAATCCACGCGGCGCGTGGTGCAGTATATGTTGTGCAACCTACGCTGTGCAAGATAATCTGTGTGGTGCAATCGATGCGGTGCAATATTCGTGGTGCATTCTACGCGGTGCATTTTCATGTGGTGCAATTCGCCCTGCCGAACTTGAAGTTGTCAATGCCACTGCTCGCGCAATCATCCCATACACTCACCCGCACCTTGGTTTGCGAAACCCATGCGGCCGTGATTGCGATGACTGCCTGGCGCTGGCTGGCGCATCGCTGCAAGCGCGCTAGTGCGCGCAGGCTCGCGCGCAGAGCGACCAGTTAGTCTGGGGCGACCGACGCGGCCGCCGTAGCGCTGACCGCCGGGGACTTCCCAGCGCGTCTCGCAGGTCGCGCTGCCGCGCTGGCACTTCATTGCGAATCGGTGATCCGGGCGTGCGCGGTATCATGGCGACGTCGACAATGGCAGGCACTAGGATGGTTGTAGCGATGCTGGTGACGACGAGGGCGATGACGACGGCAAGGCTAATGACGGCGCCGATGCTGATCACGCCGATGACGATGATGGTGCCCACGCGTCAGGGATGAAATTTGCGAGAGGTCTCGACAAGGGCGCGCGGCCGACGCACGCGAGTGGCCCGCATGGTATGATTTCACTTCCCCAGCACGCGCGCAAGGGCGTTCGAAGGATGTCGGCACGCGCGCGCGCGAGAGGCACATTTGGCTGAATTCCGTGAACATGTTTAAAAGCAGTGCTTTTGTTCCTGAGCACTAGCACAGGCGCACAAACTTCTTCGAACATCCATGTTGCAACACCTTTTTGCTTTTATGTGCTTCTGGGCATTTGGTTTTGACATACGTTCGAAACCTGAAATTGTTGAAGGGTTTCGGCATGCGCGCGCAACGACGCGTGCGTTCGCACGTCGTCCCATGTTGGGACTGTTTTTTTAGGGGGGCATGTATGATTTGTGATAAACGAATGTGCGCGCACATTTGGTGGCAACGGTTCAAAGGGGGGGCAGGTTTGGCTGGGATGGTCCACCGGGATGGTTTGAGTCCATTGTTAGGCTAAACGATGAGGCGAACTCGTGTGTAAATTGTACATCCCCAGAAGGGACGGGGAGTACCCCGGGTGCGGGGGCGGAGGCTAGATCCGAATTCTCGCTTAGGAAGGATAACTGGTTGATGCTCACTATTGGGTTGCCAATTCCACTGCTCGCGCAATCACCCCACCAACCCGCAATTTGGTTTGCAAAACCCATGCGGCCGCCATTGCGATGACTGCTTGGCGCTGGCAAGCGCATCGCTGCGTCCGCGGTTGCGCGCGCAGGCTCGCACACAGAGCGGCCAGCTAGTCTGGCGCGACCGACGCGGCTGCGGTAGCGTTGGCCGTTGATGACTTCCCAACGAATCTTGCAGGCCGCATGAATTAGCGGACACTTCATTGCGAATCGGTGGTCCGGGCGGGCACGGTATTGTGGCGACGTCGGCAATGGCAGACACGATGATGGTTGTAGCGATGCTTGTGATCGCCGATGCTGATCAGTATGATGACGATGATGGTGTCCATGCGACGGTGCTGAAGGTTTTGAGTAGATTTCGACATGTGCGCACGGCTGACGCGCATGAGTAGCCCCTTATGGTGTCATTTGAGGGGGACCGCGCGCCCCCCCCCCCCCCAGCACGCGCGCAAGGGGCCCGCTTGGTCGCAGTGGACGAAAACGCTAACACAACAACTTCCGGTTCCCAGAGAACTTGCAGGAATGTGATCAATCATGTTGCAAAACCGCTGGGATGCGTGAAGATGTGTTTGGGAACCCTGATCATGAAATCCTTACGAAATTCACGGATGTTGAAAAGATTTCGGCATGCACGCGGCGACCCCCGCGTGCCGATGTTGCCCCAGGTTTCGCGCAGGGTACAGTAAAAATTGCGGATGTTTGATATACGGGCGCGCGCGCACAATATTTGTTGTTCCGGAGGAGTGGGGGCAACAATGGTCAGTTTGGGACGGGCTGAGTTCACATTTTAAATGAACGATGGGGCACAACGCAACCACACGAAAATTGTATTATCCAGGGGAGGGTTATCCCTTAGGGCTTGTCGACTTTTCGCCAATCGACTTGTGAGAATCGAGCCAGATAAACCCAGGTAAATGCAGATAAATCGAGGTAAATCCAGGTAAATCTAGATAAACCTGGGTAAATCCAGGTAAATCCAGAGATCTCCAGGGAAAGTTCGAGCACTTCGCGGCCGCTCCAGCGCGAGTCGAAGGACGGCAGAAGTCGTTAAGCCTTTAACGAGGTTGATAACCCCGAGGTTGAGGACTGGCAGATCACAACGCTCTGGAAGAAAAGAGCACCTATGCTGTGCGGCGGCGAGGCGGCGACGGGGCCGCGACGGTGACAGCACAGCCGCCAGTCCGACCTGCAGGCCTTGACGACCGGCGGCGACGGTGCGGCGACGGCGACAACATGGCCGCCAGAGCGACTGTCAGGCCCAGTTCTTTAAACAAACAAGTAAGAATCTCTCAGTGCAAGCACTGTTGGGCGAATGTATAAATATATATATATACACACACATCTACATACGCATTGATGTATTCATGTATAGATGTGTACGGATACGTTCGCCGCGCGTGTGGATGTCCACGCGGACCTCCGACACTTTACGTGCATGCTGCTTTTACTGGCTCCCTGAAGGGGCATCTCCAGCCTGGGGGAGGTGGCCAGCGAGGAGGACAGAGTCACGAACAGGATGTCCGATTCGAGGGGTCTACCTCTCCAGATCCTGGAAGCGCTTCCTGTCCCAAACGCACCGGCGTAGCGCTCGGATATTCAAACCGAAATCCATCCATCAAAGGGGGGGCAAGCACCCCCGACCCGCATCACTGGAGTTTACTATACAGTGGTGGACGCCTTTGAACAGCCATGTCCAGGTCGACCACTTGAGGTGCGTTTGCTGAAGGGCCTCGTTGGTGGGGGTCCGACACCGCCCCCTGGCCCCAGGGAGACGCACCCTGCGGAAAGCAACAGATAATGGAGGATGACGATTAATAAATGACCGGGGGTCGTGTTCACGCGGCGGCGCCCTGGATGACGATTAGAAAAAACCGGCCGCGGGCTGGAAAACTAGTTTTTGTTGAATCGCTCTCCTCCAGTCCGAAAATTGCAGAAATAGCAGGAAACTCTTTTTGTTAATCGCTCTCCCCCATTTTTTGTATTACTCGTCATCCCGCATCTGACTCCCCAGACCTCTCCCAGGGCGCGCTGTGACCAGAATACTGCGGTGAGCCCAGGCGTGGCAACGAGGGCCCCCCCTGGGAGGCCCACAAGTGCGACAGTGCGAGAGCGATGAAAGGGTAGCGGGCCTGTATCCATCCCTCGTCTGCCACCCTCTTGTCCTCGAAGAAGACGGAGAAACTGCATAACACACCAACTTTCGACGGTCCGCGCGAAGTTGTTGGATCGGCGTTGGGGCTCCCTGGCGGCGCCTCCGGCGCACGGAGCGCGCCAGGGAGAGCGGCAGAGCGCAGATCCAAGAAGTCCGCGCGGACCTCCGAAAGCTTATGTTTGTGCAGCTTGCTGCTCCTCTGTGGTCGGGGTCCCGTTCCTCTGTGTCCAATCGGGCGGCGATATCTATGCGTGTCCACTGCTCCCGGGCCAGGCCTCTCCTGAACCCGGGAGCTGTGCGCACGCCCTCCCGGCCAAGCCGGGAGGGCGTGGCGCAGACACTGCTGCTGGGTTCAGGCTGGGCCTGGCCGGGGGGGTATTGGAGGTGTACCCCTCGGTCGCTGAAAGCAGGTACAGTCGGGGCCCTGAAGAAGGAACCCTTTTGGTTGGGGAGGGGCTCCGCGTTCCTTAAGTGTTTCACAGCTTGCCTCAGGTTTCCCTTATGTCTTCGATGGGAAATCGAGGTTTAACTTATGGAAAAAAGGGGCCTCGTTCCTTATTTAGGGTTCCTTAGGTCAACGCCCCGACTGTACACTGCTGCTGGGTTCAGGCTGGGCCTGGCCGGGGGAGTATTGGATGTGTACCCCTCGGTCGCTGAAAGCAGGTGTTTTCGGATTCGCATATTCCAATCTACTCTAAGCGCCTTCCTGCTTCAATGATCGAGCGGCTTCCCCTTCTGCCCTCCCCTTCGGGGGGCGGGCGGAGGCCCCACCTGCTTTCGACGCCCTCCTGCTCCATGCTTCTGCCTCCTTCCTCCGACCGATGGGCCGAGATCTTGTCGCCCCAGTTCAGGATCCAGGATCTGGAGGGGCAGACCCCTCGGATCGCACACCCCTGCTGGTGCTCGCAGGACGGCCTCATGGGCACGAGGACGGGCTCGGAGCGCCTGCTGGCGAGCGGCCGGTGGGCGGCGCCCACGACGCCGCTGCCCGGGGGCGGGCCCCAATAGAGAGGCAGGGCCGCCTCCTCTGACTCAACAGGAGAAGGGGAGAAGACGGCTCAACACAATCAAAATAAGTACGAAGACATCGCCGATGCATCGGCTCTGAGGCTCGATGTGGAGCCCGATGTTCGCCACGCCGACGTCGCCGGTGTGTCGCCGTCGTCGTCGATGCATCGCCGATGCACCGGCGATGCGGTGCAATGCTCTGACCCCGTCTGCCCGGACCCCATCTAGGAGGCCTGCAGGCAGGTCGGCACGATCGACATGTGTACAGAAAGAATGGGTACAAAAACCGACAGTAGTTCCTGCCCACCTTGAGCAGGAGGTGCTGTCGGTGTCGCCGCGGACGTGGTCCAATTGAGGTAGACGGCCTCCTGCCCAACAGCGGCCGCTATCGGTTTGGGACAACATTTGCTGTTTGGCATCGTACCCATTTTTGTCCGTACCCCTTTCGGGCGTCCAAAACGGCATACGCATCCGTGTGAACGGAGAGGCTTCGGGCCCAGACCCCCCTCGAGGCATGGACCAAGCACGACTGGAGGTTTCTCGCTGTGTTCGGCCTCTGGGGACCCTCACTGGGCCTCGGGGCCGCCAAACAACTGCTCGAGATGAAGAGCCGGTCCCGGGGAACGGGTCGAGATCCCTGGGGTCGACGTTATCAACAATTTATGACGTCCCCCTGGGCAGTTCCAGCTGGCCTCCACAGGCCCCCCCCGCGGAGCCCTGGGCGGCCTCAACACGCTGTCGCCGCCTCCGGCCGCGGCGCTCCGCGCCCCGGGGCTGGGGCGCTGCGACCGCCCTGTTCCACTCGGGGGGCCTGTGCGGAGGCCAGCCGGGACTACTCGGCGGGTCCTGTGGAGGCCAGCGGAAGCCACCTGGGGGGCCGCGGGTGCGCCGCCCGGAGCCTGCCCGCCCGGGAGCGGGAGGCGCCCGGCCAGTTCCAGAAGCGGCCTCGCCCTCGCGGTCCTCGAGAGGTCGGCGCCGCGTGCCCGGCGGGTGGCCGGCGGAGGGGTTGGGCCATGCCGGTGGAAGCAGCACGAGGGCGGGTCTGCCGGCGGAGGTCGGCGGCGAGGCCGGCGGAGGCCGGCGGAAGCGATCGATGTGAGGTATAGGTTCGCGTCGTGTCGACCGGCGGCGACCTTGCCGCTGGAAGTCAACGTCGAACGCCGCTGGCGACCCAAAGTCGGTCGGTGTTGAACGATCGGACGTTTCGGGAACGGCCGGTCGTTCAAGGTTGAGCGACCCCCGCGGTGTCAGGAGCCAGCGCCAGGGTCGACACGACACGAACCCGGTGTAGCCCCCCAGAAGATGGACGTGCTTTGTCCAGGGTTCCCGAGTTCGCCACATGGTGATGCAGCTGGCCTGGGCGAGACCTGGATGTAGCCTTGAATCGGGTGTGTCCCCTCTACAGGAGAAATATTCAAAAATAGTCAAACCATAGTCTGGGGACGATTTGTTGTCTAATTTCGAGCATTTTTGCAAAATTATTTGACTATTCTTCATTTTTCCTCCCAAATCCGCCTGTAGGAGGACATGCCCGACCAAACTTTAGCCTGACAGTGCACGCGTGGCCGTATGTTTCCATCGTTCGATCCTCCCATGGCCCAGCGCTCAACCTTTCTATGGCCTGGCATGCTGGGCGTCCGCGTGTGCTCCCAGCGCGTGGCCGCCAGATGTTCCCCACGTGTGGGTCCAGCTTTGGTCTGAGAAACTCGCGCGGCCGTCGGAGCATTTGTGTGTACGCCGTCTCCTCTTCTTCTAGGATGATCTGAAGAGCAATGGCACTTTGTCGCGACTCCAGTGATAAAGCGTGGATGTCGACACCCGCGAGGACGCGGCGACCCCCGTCCCCCGGCTGTCTGCGATCAGAGCGACGGTACTGTGAGCAATGCGTGGGGAATGCCCGTGCTCGGAATTTGCGTTTAGGTTTGTGGGTGCATACTCCACGTCTGCAATTGGATGTTAGCTTTTCGTGGGGTTGCCCATGCTCGGAATTGATGCCCAATGTGTGGGTTATTTGATTGGCAGTAGTCAGATATACATGTGCATGCGGCGAACCTGACAGGACAATAACGGTACGTGCTAGAAGAGATGATGAAGAAGAAGAAGAAACAGATGATGACGATGAGGTGGCGAATGACGAGGAGGAAGTGGTGGAGGACGAGGAGTACCGCAATGGGTACCAGCTGGAGTGCCAGAAGGGGGTCAGGCAAGAGGAGCACAGGGGCGAGGAATAAGAGGACGAGGGCGGTCCCTTACGACGACAGCGTAGAAGACGAGGAGGGCAACTCGGATGAGTATCAGTATCGGTCAACCAACCCCGATCGTTGATCCTGAGGATTTGTATTAGCCCAAGCGTACATATGTTTACCCCGTCCGGTTCCTCCGATAGCGCGCAGTTAGTGTCGGCTCTTATGGGGCCGCCCATGTCGTAGTGAAGCGACGCGGTGGACAAACACACGTTGGCGTCGACACACGTTCTGAGGATCATCGAACGTATCCCCATTCCCATCCCCATCCAGACCCACACCATTTAACCCCCCCGTTGGGGATACACCCCTTTAGCCCCGAAAGAGACGGCCCACATGATTCAGGTCCAGCCCCCCCCCAACACCATGATGGCATCGGCCCCCCCCACAACGATGGCCCCCCCTCTGTGGATGTGGTGTGGTGCTGTGGGTGTGGCGTGTGTGGCGTGGTACTGTGGCACTCCAGGAGAGCTCCAGAGGTCGTCGCCGCCGCCGCCGCCGCCGTCGTCGAAGGAGGAGGGCTCCGGAGGTCGGCGCCGCCGCCGCCGCCGTCGTCGTCGTCGTCGTCGTCGTCGTCGTTGTCGTCGGAGGTCGGCGCCGGCGCCGCCGCCGCCGCCGTCGTCGTCGTCGTTGTCGTCGTCGTCGTCGGCGCCGCCGTCGTCGTCGTCGTCGCCGTCGTCGTCGTCGTCGTCGCCTTCATCGTCGTCGCCGCCGCCGTCGTCGTCGCCGTCGTCGTCGTCGCCGTCGTCGTCGTCGTCGTCGTTGTCGTCGTCGTCCCCCCTCATCCCATCTAGGGGGGGGCCGTGGAATCCTGGGACCCATTCCATCTTGGGGGGGGCCCATGGGCCCCCGACCCGGGATCATACGATCCCCTTCCAGGAGGGGGGCGGGGCAAACTGGCCAGTGGGGCCGAGGCCACGCAGTTGGGGATAGGGGGCGGGTCAAAGATGCTCAGAGGAGAGGGAGAGCGGGGAGGACGAGCAGGAGAGCATCAGTATTCAAATATCCAGGTGCCTGCGTCGAACCCGCCACCGTGCCAGCGTAGCACTCTGTGTGGTGGCCCTTCGAGCATCTTCAGAAGGCCGTAACACGTGACACCTCCCGCCTCCACTTCTCGAGGAGCTCACGTGGGGGCTATTTGGGCTGCCTTGGTCTCCTGTGGGGTAGTCTGGGGGGTCCCTCGGGGTCCTCTTGGGCCGTCTTGGGGGCCCCATTGAGCTGCCAATGGGCCGTATTTGAGCTATCTCCAGGCCCTCCTGCCATCTTGGGGGTCTCTTGGGGCCGTCTCGTGGCCGTTCGTGGTTAGGCCGTCGAGGAGCCGTCTTTGGCCGGCGTGGGTCCTGCCAGGTGCCCGTTTCGAGGGCCGCCAGGAGACCCCTTTTTGGAGGGAATCCCAGGGCCTGGACTACTAGGCCTTCCCGCGTGCTATTGGGCGCGTTTCTGAGGCAACGTTTTGAAGGATGTTTTTCTGTCCTAGGTCCGACTGCAACCTTCCGGGCCGTCTAGGAAGCACTGGAGAGCTTGAGAGAACCCCCCGGGGCATAATGAGTCGGGACGCCCAGGGAGCCTCGGGGGCGGGGGCGCTGCACGCAAGTCAGCATGAGGAGAGGGGAATGCGGTCCCGTAGATCGAGCAGTGGCGGAGCGTCTTGGCTTGCCTATAGGCCCAGCAGAGAATGTCCCAGGAACATTTTGTGATTTGCACGACACGTTCTGGCTGAGCCTGTGTTGTTCTAACATCTCGGGTTTATCTAGAACATTGTTTTGGTTCTACGAACATTGTGTGGTTCTGAGAACATGTCGTGGTAGGCCTACAGGAATGCCGGGACGATCGATACCTGCTCGAGTGGAAGACTTACAGGGCCCCTACGCGACAGCATTTGGCATCCTACGACGCATACGCGTGTTAAGGGGCATGCCGGCATGGAGACATGTCTGAGTTGTTGCTGTTCGGATGTCACTTCTGAAGTATCATGATAGCTGGTCCCTCCTCACTGGTGCCGCCGTGTTGTTCAATTGGCGTGCCCCGCTTCGCTCGCTCACTTTATTCCCGAATAGCGTTTCGCTGGTAGGCCTCTCATAGTTGAGAATAAAAAGGATGACCATCCCACTGGGGGATAGAGAAGCCCGAAAACTCCCGTCCTGGTAGCCGTGTCGCTTCAGATTGCTTGACCAATTCTGCAGGAGTCAGGCTCTGGCTTCCATGCGGACCACATGTTTGGTGTGGAAGGCTGCGGTCCCTTGCAAAAAGCATACGCTGCTGTGCATACGGCCGTGCTCCCACCCCTGTCGCACGGCCACGGCCCCCAAGGAACCAAGCACACGAAGGTGCACACGGCCGTGCCACCACCCCCTATCACACGGCCACGGCTCCCTGCGAGGGGTACACTGCGGCGTCGCACGGCCACGCCCCCTGGCAAAAAAAAATGCAACGGTACACATGGCCGTGCTCCCACCCTTGTCACCCGGCCACGATCCTTTGAGACAGAAAGTCGTAACGGTGCAGATGGCCGTGCTCCCACCCCCGTCACACGGCCACAACCCTTCTGTAACCCAAAACATGGCGGTGCACATGGCCGTGCTATCACCCCTGGCACACCCAGCAGTCCTAAGGAAGGCAAAGGAATGCACGTTTTCACCAGCCGACACCCTGCTGCTCGACCCTCCTCTTCACTCTTGCTGGAATTGGCATGCTCTGCTGGAGGAAAGCTCTGTTGCCAGGGGAGGTCTTCTGGGTCAGACTGCGGCCCCGGCCTCAGGACTATAACCACAGCGGCTTCCTCCTGACACCCCCCCCCTGGCTTGATCCTGGCATCGCGCCCCCGCCCTCCCCCCTGCGAGCCTATGACTTGCGGTGCGCTCCAAACGCGCTCTCGCCTCGGAGCTCATCCGTGCGCCCCAGAAGCAGCAGGGCCTGCGCTCCTGGGAGCCCCCGCCTCGGCGGGCGGGCCGGTGCTCTGCCCGGGTGCCCGGCCGGGGGCCCCCCCGGTGGGCGCCCCGCGGGCGCCTCGTGCGCGCCGCGCGGGCGTGCCGAGGTGTCGCCCCCGGGCCCCGCCTCCTGGGCGCCCCCCGTCGTGCGCCACGCCGTGCGCCGCGCGGGTGTGCCGAGGTGGCGCCCGGCGCGCGCCCGTGCCTTGGCAGCGCTCGGACGTGTGCATTTTTTTCCTTCGGCGAGGGCAGTCGAGGAGCCTTCTTGTGATCGTTTGGCGAAAAAAAGCCGCGCACGAAACCGAAAAAAACACAGGGAATGGGCGTCCGAGCGGTGGCCAGATGTGGGGCGGCAGGTGGCCGCTGCACGTGCCGGCCCAGTAGAGGGGCGGACTTGCTGGGGTCTCGCGGGGACATGTGAACCGTGCGCCCTCTCGCGCTGGAGGTGGGGGGGGTGGCCAGTGTGAAGCGCAAAACAGATCCTGTGCCACACAGCTTACACCACATACATTGCAGCGCACAGATTGCACTACTCAGCTTGCACCGAGTAGCCTTCGGAGAAGAAGAAGAAGCGGCATAGACATAAACTTGTGGCGCTCCGCGCGGATTTCTTGGATCCGCGCTGGGCCCCCCCGGCGGCGCCTCCGGCGCCGCCCCTGGCCCGCTCCGCGCGCCAGGCAGGGGGGTCCGGCGCGGATCCGAGAAATCCGCGTGGAACGCCAAAGAAATTATGTTTATGCCGTAATTTCTTCTTCTAACTGCTTTGCTTGCGACGCACAGCTTGCACCAAATAGCTCACACCACACGGCCTACACTAGAAAGCTTGCACCGCACAGCCTGCACCACATGCGTTGCACCCCGCAGCTTGCAACACATAACTTGCACCACATAGCGTGCACATCCACACTGAAACCGTTTCCTGTTTGGGGCCCATGGTTGCAAACGTACTCAAGCACGCGCTCTCGCTCGTCAACCATCGCGCTTCCGCTCGAGACTTACAGCTTGATCTGGAATCCGGGTGTCGCGAGCGACCTCGCCGCCACCTGTCATGACCCGCCTGCCCGACCTGCCCGGCATGGTCCTCGTGCCCGTCCCGCCCGACAGGATCCGCCCGCCCGGCCCGCCCTGGTGTGCGCCCGCTGGCCCCGCCGGTGTTTCGGCGCCCGCTTGCTCGAGCCCGACCCGCTAGCTTGCAGGACCCTGCCCGCCCGACCCGCCAACTAGTGGGGCCCGCCCGCCTGCTTCGATGTCCCGTCCGCCCGTGGCGCCCGACGGGGTGCGCCCGCCTGGGCGGGTCCGTGCGACCCGCCCGTCGAGGCCCGCCCGTCTGGCCTGCGTGTCTCACCCAGTCGGGCCGACCCAGTACAGTCGGGGCGCTCAAGAAGGAACCCTTTTCGTTGGGGAGGGGCTCGGCGTTCCTTGATTGTTTTACAGTTCGCCTTGGGTTTTCCTTGGGGTTTCCATGGGAAATGGAAGTTTATCTCATGGGAAAAAGGGGCCTCGTTCCTTGTTTTGGGTTCCTTAGGTCAACGCCCCGACTGTAGGCACCATGGAACACGGAGCTCCTCAAAAGGCGGCACGGTCCTCGACGAAGAGGGTGGGAGTCCAGTCGAGGATTCGGGTGTCGTGTTGGATGGCGCGCGAACGACACAAAGCGAACAGTTGTGTGACGATGATTGTTTGCGTGCGTGGGTCGAAAAATCGCGTGTACATGTGCACGCATGGGCAATTTTAGATGCGCCTAGACGTTTTCAAAGTGTGCTGAATATTGCTGTCAAGGTGGCTTCATTGCATCAAAAATGTTGCAGTGCCGGGGATGAGTGAGTGCCGAGGACCAGTGCTGGGGACTATGGCGAAACGCCACTTCCGTGATCAGATCTGGGAAGCAGATCCGAGCTGGGAGTCAGCGTTATCCACAAAATCAATCCAGAGATGAGTTCGCGAGATCAGTCCAGGGATCAGAGCCAGGGATCAGCCCCAGCGATCCGGTCCAGAGATCAGTCTGCGGGCTGGGGGGGGGGGGCTGTCGGAGAATTTGCATTTGAATCGTCCCAGCCGCACACGAGGAAACAATTGCTTATACGACGTTGTCTTGTGCGATCGAATGTTGTGCCGCAGTTGGTAGCCCCTCGGGGATACGTCCAGGGATCAGCGCTGTGGAGCGAGCAGGGGATAGATACATATGCGATCTGTCGAGGGGCCAGGTTGGGAATCATTCCAATAATTAGTTTGTAGATCAGTGCCAGGGATGCTTCCGAGACTCAGTCTGGATCAGTCTTGGGACCAGTGCCAGGGATCAGTCAGCGCCGTGGATGAGTGCCTGCATAGTGCAGTCTGTAGATCATTGCCGGGTTCAGTGCCGTCCAGGGATCAGTCTGCGGATCCGTCCAGGGATCAGTGACGCGGATCAGTGACAGGAACCAGTGCCAAGGGGGGTCCTTCACACGATTATCAAAGAATTGACGAGTCCATCGTCGATGTATTTTTGGTTGCACTTCTGCGTGAACCGTGGCGTCGCAACTAGCAGTGTAGTCCGACGTGCGGCTGTCGGTTGGTCGCCTTCTTTTTGCCAATTCATAGTATAGTTCGAGAGCCGTCGCATTTGCAGAAGCGGCTGCGGACGAGTTCTTGTCGCATTCGTCATTGCCCTCCCCTCTCGTTCTACTCCTCCTGACTTGTCGTCGCCCTCCTCCATTCTAGAGCCACGGCTCGTGTAATTAATGCAAGAATGGCGCCATCTCAGTTTGGCACCAAGCCAACGAGAACCCGCTTCTACGGCTGAACGTTCCAATAGGCACGCTCCGTTGTTTTCCGGCTGCCCGTGTGTGATGAATTGTCGTGGATGCGCTGGGCTGTAAAACAAGCCAGCCTGTCGCCGTGCTTCATATTTCGTGTGGTGAGCAGCTTGAGCCGTGTGCGTCACGCACCCGCGTTCGCGCGGGAGCAGCATATTGCGAATTGGTAGATCATGTGCAGTAAAGCGACCCTTAGTTGCGGAAGGAGCCTTCTTCTCTTCTTCTTATCGCGTTGTCGTATGGCGTCGCCGTCCTCTCGCGACTCGAAAGACATTCGTCCTGACGAAAACGGATCCTGGATTAGTTGTTTTTTTTGTTCGGGCTCCTGGGGCCCTCCGCGGGTCACCGTCACAAAGATACCCATGGAAACACCCGTGGTCAAAGACCTGTTTCTCTCGGGGCCCGTGGTTTTCCTGGTGATTGACATCAGCCTGCCCTTCGTATTCCCCATCCACTTTCTTCGACTGTCTTCTCTTGTTTTGATTTGCGTTGCACAGGCTTTGCCTATAGCGGAGGCGCAACGTCTGAAGACGTTGAAAGGCAAATGTAACATCCGATTGTTCATGAAGTTCGTCGAACTAAGATTTCCTACAAACCTTAGTTCGATGTGTTTGGCCAGCAAAAGTGTTCTCCCCACGGCGGACGACGCTACCGGGGAGAAGGTGAACAAAGTAAGCAGACAGGAAGTTTCTGCGGGCATCGAGATCTGTACAGCGAGTTGCCGTGTCCTGAATGAAGGTGCGCGGGGCCACTGCAAAGATGCTCCTGCATGAAGGTTCTGCCCTGGTCTCCTCCTCGTTCCTCCCTCCTGGGCCAGAGGCTTCGGGGAGGTGGGAGGTGGCAGAACTCAGGAGGGGAAAAACACACAGACACAATTAATCGTCAATTCCCAGGAAAATATAGGAAAATATGGGAAGTGGGTTGGAAGACAAAAACCCAGAAAATATAGGAAAATATGGGGAAGATTTTTATTTGTGTGTATTTATTTGTGTGTCCTGGGGCCCCTTCAAGAACCCAGAGCCGAGCAGCGTGGGCCGTCCTCGGAGGCCACCGCGGTGCCCGTGGGGAGCAAAAGAGGCGCCCAGGATTTGGTGGAGGAGCGAGCTGCGGCGGACGGGCGATGTCTTGCACACCCCGCGCTGCCGGGCTGCTGGCGCAAACTCCAACGCGCCCTTCCGATTCAATGTTGGCTGGTATACGGTAGGTTTGCGTCGTGTCGACCAGCGGCGACCCCAGCGCGGGCGTTCAAGGTTGAACGCCGCCGGCGACCCAGAATCGGGCGATGTTGAACGATCGGACGTTGCGGCAGCGGCCGATCATTCAAGGTTGAATGATCCCTGCGGTGTCAAAAACCAACGCTGGAGTCGGCACGACACGAACCTGCCGTAGCCAGCGGGGCGCAGGAATCAGGCAAGTCAACAGATCGACACATCGCGGCGCAGCCTGCTGATCTTAAAAACCGGGGGCGCGGGGGGGGCTCGCGCCAAGAACCGCGGGGCGCACCAAAAACCGTGGCCACGCAGCGGGACAGGGCCCGCACCGGCCCGCAAGATCGGAGGTGGAGGAGGACAACGCCGACGACGCCGACGCCGTCGCCAACGCCGACGCCGACGCCGACGTCGTCGACGACGTCGACGACGACGATGACGACAAGGACGAGCACGAGCACGAGAAGCAGGACGAGGATACGAGCACAGAGGTAAAGATCATCAATCGACCAGTGGATTGACCGACGACGAGATTGCTGCCCGCGCGGCCCAGTGCTGGCGCGTGAGCACGACCTGTCACCTGCCCCCCGTCCGCGAGGACGGCGGGTGTGCCGAGGCCGGTGACGGCGGCGGTGCTCCAGGCCGGCTGCCCCTGGCGCAGATGCAGGCCCGGGCGCCGCGGACCAGACGTGGAGGAAAGGAAGGGGCCTGGGAAGGAGGGGGATTACGATGTTCCAATCTACTTTATAGCCTTGGCCACCAGAAAGAGTTTCGAGCACCAAAGAAGTACCGAAGCTCGAGGGTGTTCACGTGTCGGGCCCTGGGAGACTCGTCCGACACTGTTTCGACACCTTTCCGGGTGCTCTAAATTATTTCTGGGATGTGGTCTTTAAGTGCGATGGGAGCAACATAAGACAAGGACCAAGGCATGCTGCCGTCGTAAAGAGAACGACGGGAGGTCTCGGGCCCAAGCCGGGCCCCAGGACCATCACACGCTCACTCGTGACGAAACGCCGGCCCCGGGGAAGGGATCGGGACTTCCGGAGACTCTGCAACTACAAAAAAAAAGACGCCGCACGTCTGGGGAGGGGCCTGGGAAGGAAAGGAAGGGGTGGGTCTGGACTCCTTGCGCGCACTTCCTCCTCCTCCCTCGCATCCCCTCTGTGCCCCCTCGCCCCTCCCCGCTCCCAGACCCCCGACGTCATGATGTTTTCATGGCGTCGACCCCCAGAGGCCTCGACCCGCTCCCCGGGGCCGGTTTTTCTGCTTGAGTCGTGCTTCGACGGCCCCGACGCCCGGCGAGGCCCCTTGGGGGCCGGAGATAGCGGAAAACCTCCCGTCGCGATGTTTGCTGAAGGTTCAAGGGGGTCTGCCCCATCCCCCTCCCCTTATGAGGTTCCCACTCTCGAGGTTCCAACCTACTTTAGCCTGGATCACCACAGGAAAAAACACATAAACACAAAGGGTTTTATTGGTTTTACGCCGGAAGGGGGGCGTCGTTGAGAGGGTGCCTGGCACGGATGCGGGGATCGGTGTGGCGTCGGTCTTTGGAGCTGGCGGTTTGCGTGGCAAGTGCGTCTAGCTGGTCGCATGTGTTCGGAACGCGTGACGGGTGGAAAGACCGCTCACCAGCAACTGGCAGTTCTCTGCCCGCGGGCCAGAATAAATCGCAGCGCGCTCGCAACGGGGTGTGGGAAAAGGGGTTGGGAAGAGAGCGCGAGTCTCATTCCCAAAAAGTCCATTCGATAGGCAGCAAACCATTTCTTTCTACTTATCCGCCACACGGCCAACCGAACGAACGAACAATTGTCTCGGCGCGCAGTGCTCGCTTCGCTTGCGCGCATCCTGGCTTCCTTCCGTTGCTTCCTTCGCTTCTTTCTCGCCCTCCTCTTCTTTTTCCTCTTCCCCTGCTTCGCCTTGTCCCGCCTTCCCTTCCTTTCCAGCTCGGAGCTGTCGCCGCGCGCGAAGAGCGCAACCCAAAGGGCGTTGCTGTAGTTCCTTTATGTGCCACGAAGTCTCGCGTAATTCCTTTGTGTGCGGTCTGCTTAAACTGCCAACGCGGGGGGCGCACAAAGGAATTTCCTTTGTGTACGATCGTTTTTGCCGCCCCCACAAGAGCATGCGCGATTCCTTTGTGTAGAGCTTGCTTTCCCGCCTCGAGGAGCGCACGCGGCCTGGCGCTACAATCACAAGGCCGCGGCGCCTGGCAGTGCGATGCAGTTGCGCTGGATACCACGCACAAAACGATGCTGCGTGGATTTCAGCTCTTTTGCCGAAATCGCGCTGGCAGCTGGCCAGCCACATCGCCGACCCTGCATGCCCGCGCGCGCTACTGCGTTCTGCTGCCGCGACGCGTGCTGCTGTCAACGGATGAACAAACTGACGTTGCACGATGGTTTGGCTGTGCCAAACCACCATGGAATGTTAGTTGGTAGCGGATTTGGGGATCTTGTCGCCGCGGACAGCCTTGCCACGCCATACATGTCAACTGCATCCTAGAGCGCGGCCGTGCATCAACCCTGGTTCGGATCGTTGGGGATCCAGTCGCATGTGTGCACATGCGTTGCATCGTTGGTGGTGCCAAAACCCTTTGTGTGAAATTCCTTTGTGTGTTTTTCCGGCTCTTAAGAAAGAGCTTCGAGCACCCAGAAAGTATCATACCTGGACGGTTTTCACGCTTCGGGGTCTGAGAGGCGGTACTCGCTCGGCACTTCGCCAGAGTGTCGGGCAGGCACTATTTCGGTGTTTTCCGGGGTGCTCGACAATATTTCTGGGATGTACCGTGGAGACCCGCGCCAAGAAACACCCTGCTTGCCTCCAGGGTGCCCTGGGGTTTTTGGGTCCCGATGGTGCGTGACGTTCCCACACCAAAAATGAAGGGACATCATGGGGTCTCAGGGTTGGCTTTCTTGTGGAAGGTTTCCTGCGGACTGCCCCCCACTGTAGTCCTTAGGCACAATGGGAACAACAGAACCCTCCCCCCCCCCCCGCACCGCTCCTGCCGCACCCCCCTCCCCTCCTCTACCTGGCCCTGGCTGGCCGACCGCTGCGGGGCGCGACCGTGGCGGCGGCACTGGGGCCCTGCGTGGCGGGGCGTCCGAGCCTACACAGTGGAGGCCCGTGCCAAGAAACACCCTGCCTGCCTCCAGGGTTCAAGGGCAACGACATTGGGGGATAGGCCTAGGGGGGGATGCATCGACCCCCAATCGCCCGTTGATCGCCGAAAGGGGCCCGATAGCCCCAACCTGCCCAGGAAGGTGTGGATGCACTATCGGAGGCCTATCGTCGATCTATCGGCGATGCATCGCCGATTCCAGGTCGATGCGTCCCCCCCATTCCAGTCCCCCCCTATCGTTGCCCCTCAAGTGTGCCCTGGGTTTCTTGGATTTCGATGGTTTTTTTTGTGGAAAGCGCGACGTTCCCACACTAGAAATCCATGGGCGTCCTGAGGTCTCCTGGCTGGGTTTTTTGTGGAAGGGTTCCTGTGGACTGGCCTCCACTGTACCCGTCGGTCGTTACAAGAAGATGTCTTCTGGGAGATCCAGATCCCGATCTACTTCAAGCGCCTTCCTGCTTCAAGAACCGCTATGCTCCTGACGCGTCCTGCTATTATCTGGGAGGGCCTGAACCACATCCACTTGATCCGCCTTCCCACGTCGTGCTCTTGCCTACGTCCTGCGACCGCCGTGTATGTCTCACTTGGCATCGCTCGGACGTGTGCATGTTGTGATATGGATATCGCTGATATCGTTTGTCGAGGAATCGCGCGGCGAAACTCTCTGCGTAGCTCTAAGGCCAAGGGCCCTAGTTTGAAACAAAATGGCGGCGACAAGGCGGGCGTGAGAGATAGAGCGGGGAAGCAGGGAAGGAGCAGGAAGGCCACGGGGAGTGAGCGGGAATCGCACTCCTCCTGATTGACGCTCGCGGCGCCGTCGAGCGACGATCATCGATCGCAGCTCACTTCATTAATCAGAGCGCTCCAAAACAAACACAGGCAAACGGCCTTGTCGGCATGCTATCCGGCTGCCCCAGGGCATTTAACGGGTGTTGCTACACGCACCGGCAAGAAATACATAAATTCTCAAAACAAACAGCGGCGCGAGTCCGATCGCTATGCGACAAAACTCAAATAGCGCTATCTTATCAAGATAAAATCTCAATAGTGTGGTCGTCACCACATAAAACAAAAACCTGTGCACACTGAGTAAAGCTTCGAACAATGCGGACTAGCGTAATCTGCCACAGGATGTGGCGCCAAATGTAAAGAAAACGAGCTGGTAAGACAATTCGGACTAACGTAGTCTGCCACACGATGTGGCTCCAGGTGTAAAGAAAACGAGCTGACAGAGCGATGCGGACTAACGTAATCTGCCACAGGATGTGGCGCCCGTTATAGAGCGGCGGCGTGCGTCACGAAATCTTCTTTTGAGCTTTCGCCTTGCCGGGCAGTCCTTGTAGCTGCCTTCATCTATTCTGTAAATCCCAGCGCAGACTATTGTGCATCCTCGAAAAGTCTGGCTCATGAGTCATATGATTCCTGCGAAGCCATGACGCATGCTTCCTGCACGTCCTGCAGGTTATGTAGACACTATGTGTGTTGTGTCCCACACGTATGTTGTGCTCGGCGGCCACACATGCGCTCATCTCTGATGGCGAAACCGTTGGCGTCGATCCGTTCCACGAAACCACACTGGCTGACGAGGAACTGTGAACCGTCATCGGCGATGATGGCGCAGAGCTCGCTCCCTGCGCGAAGCTGTCCGGTGATGGGGGCGGTGCGGCTGGCGCTGCCGATCCGCTTGCTGATGATGAACTCTGGGCTGCGACGGCAATCATCGGCGGCTCCATGTAGACATCTCCGTCGACGTCTTCGGGAATGGTAGGCTGTACGTTGTTACGACGTCCAAGGTATCGTCCATTCCATCCTGGATATACTCCGGGCAAGGGAGTGTCCGCGTGCCCGGTGTGATCGGCCTTGGACCCATTGCTGGTGTTGTTGATGGTCCCGATCTGGATGGGATTGGGGTCGCCTGGCCCAAATATCTCCTTTCGCACCACAAACCACAGCGCTGCGAACAATGTAAATCCAATCATGATCCCACTGAGCATCGCAATGAGTGTCATGTAGTAGATCCAATGTGACATCGACACTTGCCATTCCTGTGGGGGATGCTGTGCCTTCACGCGTCCGAGACATGTCATCAGCACTGAGGCAAGCATGGCGGCGTGCGGTTGCCTAGTGCCGAAGTTGTACTTCTTGGCCCCGAAGAAAGCGAGGAGCACTCCGGTCTCCATGATCTTGGTGAGCGCGTCGGCGACCATACTCCACGTAGGTATCCACGAGAGCTTCAGCTGGCTGTTGGGGTGCACCGTCTCCTTGATCATTGATGCCACGATGCGGAACCGCTTGTCCGTGGATTGACCCACGTCAGACTTGATGTGTGTCACCAGGCCGTTGCTGTCGCTATAGATCTCCCCGGATCGTTTGGTGCTGAGGTCGTCGATCTGCTTGAGCGTCTTCTTCGGGTTGTAGGCCTCCGTAAGTAGCTGGCCGAACCACGTGCTCGACTCGGCGCCCTCCAGAGTGGCGTAGCCCTCGGCGGCCAGCGTCGACTTCACGGATCGCTTGACCGTGCCCGAATGCCAGGCCACAGGCAGGCACAAGTC